CATGCTTTAGATAAATTGTTAATTCTTTGATTACTCGCTTTCATGTTATTTCTTATGTTGAGATTGTTGTGATAAGAGTTATTTCTTTTTTGATTGGTTTTTGGCACTAAATGTTGAAAGATTCTCATATGATGAGTTGTGTTCTAAAACTATTGGTGAAGTTGAATTTGCTTCCCACCTTGCTTGGTATTGTGTTGTTGTGATTGCTTGGTGAGATAGAGTGAAATGCACAAAGGGTGTTGTCGTGCCTTATTTGCATATTGATATCATTGCTTGATTGATCGTGAGGATAAAGCATGATTTATTGATTTTATTGCTTTTACTTGATATTTGGAATGTGAACTTGGCTTTGTGATTTCGTTAATTACTTTTGGAAGAGGTTTACTCCGTGATACTTTACTTTATGTTTCCGATTGTTGCCCCTTTCATATGTCCCCATCCTATTGTTACTTCTGACTTTTTACTTGTTATTTTCGTTACTTTTTATATATAACTGCACAAGTTTATAGTAGAAGTCTTGTCTTAGTCTCGTCACTACTTTGTCGGGGTTAGGCTCGACACTTACTGAGTATATTGGGTCGGTTGTACTCATACTACACTTCTGCACTTCTTGTGCAGATTCTGAAATTGATACCAACGGAGTCCCGAGAGGTAGTTATTAGATACTATGCGGTGATTCAAGGTAGAGCCGCATTCCGTTCGCAGGCCTTAGAATCACTTTCCCAGTTCCCATGTATTATTTCCATTTCGTTTAGTTACCATGTACTATTTTCATTTTGTTTCGGACAATGTTGTAGTTTCTTTCTAAATATTGTATTTAGTATAATCTAGAAGATCATGTACTTGTAACTCCGCATCTTGATATATTCGCGTTAGATGTTGATTTTAGACTTATTATGTTTATCTCTAATTTTCCTTTATGTTACATTATTACTTTATTGCCATTCTTTTATAGCGGGTCTTCCTATTTATTTGTTGTGTGTTGGCTTTCCTAGCAAGTATTATTAGGCACCATCACGACCTCGATTGGTTGGGATTTTGGGATCACTTTCAAAGAGATCAAAGAACAAATTTGAGTAGAAACCCAAATTCTTAATAAATATCAAATGAACAACCTAAATCATTAAGTGAATCAAGAAAGAAATTATCCACTGAAACTTACATTAATTGAAGAAATAAGAGTCTACAAGTCGAACTAGATACTCTATAAGAACCTCTCTCTCAAAGGTGTGTAGTCATCAATCATCAAAACTTAGAAATATTACAAAATAAATAGTCTTTATAGGGGGGGTCTGGAAAAAGAGAAAAAAAGGGCCAAAGCCCCAAAATAGAAACCTAATGGGTAAAAAATGGAAAGAAGCCCGCAATAGAAAGTCTGTTCGGATGTTGGTATGTTGTGATGGCTGCAATCCATTCAAATGTACTGCAAGCAAACTCAGTTGTTCTTATTTGGTTGTCCTTCGTTTTCTGCGAGGACTGCAATCACAGTTCTTCTTTGAGAAACCTCCTGCAGCATTAATGCTGCGATTGCACCTACCGATGTTGTGATACAACTACTTATTCCAGCTTCATAGTTGCCCCCCAACTCTTCCTTTCGATCACCTCAATGCTCGGGTTGACTTTGTGTATGGCCTCCAAATTGGACTCTGAATGCATCTCAAGGAGGTGAATTGGTTTTGCTTCTCCTTAAGGACTCAATATTGATTCTTCCAAGATCTTTTTAGTCAACCCTTGAAGCTCTTGCAATCTCTTGGGGCTTGGGATATTCTGAATGTCCTTGTCGGACTGTGGTCCTAATCCTTGGTGTCTACATGTGGATCTTCATAAAAACCATTCAATAGGAAGGGTAAAATGGGCTTTACCGGGGGCGAATTTGGATTAATCGGGAGAGGATTAATGAGTTCCGAATATCAGATAGTTATACCGGGAACAAAAATATATAATCAACAGAATGCCTAACAATAATCAAGTGTTGATGTCATGTTTAGTTACAACCATTCTAAAGCTCTAGATTTTTGAGATGGCAATGGTTAAAATAGATGTCAAAGCAGCAGTGACCAGTGAGCACTCGATTCCAGCAAGGTCTATGTCTTATTAACTGAAAACCATTCTGAAAGCTCAAGTTACTGGAGATAAACAGATGTGTGTAAGTTCTATATATAATTAAAGGGTGAAGCAACCATATATTATCCATCTTTTGCATATATGATACTATTGGTCCACGCAAGACAGGTCCGAAAAGAAGTTTATCATTGCACGAAAGAAAATAAAGTAGAAAACCGCAAAGGAAATAAAAGCCTATAAGGGAGATCAACAAAATTAAGGTACATCGGAGTTGCATATAACTTCTAGTAGCAACACAAAAGCTAGAACGTTGTTTCGAAGTGGAAACCACGAGGGCTAGCTAATAGCCTAATAATATTGACAAGGAGATGGCACGAAAATATTGCATAGTGGAAGATAGATTAAACAATGTTACATGAAAGAATTGCATAAATCATGATCAAGATCGTGCAAGAGGATTGTTACATGAAAACAATGTTCTGACAGATAGATTATCAAATTGAAGAAACAGAAAACAGTTAATTCATTGTAGATGAGAAACTTTGGAGGGAAAAATTGAGGCCCATATTAAAAGCGATGATATGTAGCTTGGAAGTTGAACCAGGCAGGCATGAAAGGTAAATTTGAATAGTGATAAAGGCATAAGTACATCACAATGGTCAATGAACAAGGCAGAGCATGTTAATACATAATTGATCACTTTACTTTATCTGTCAATATTAATTGTCATTTGCAACAAATTGAATGTTATGAAAGAAGTTTCATCATCACATTTTCCTAGTCATTCATATTCTCAAATGCTTCCTTAAAATCTTCCTTCACTTACGGTAATTTTCCTTTGTATTCATGTTCAAAGAATACAATAGTCAGCAAAAGGCTATGTTATATGGATCATTTTGTCTTAATTCTACCTGTGGTTTAATGACATTAGTTGAACTAGACCGACAAACCAAAATACTATAAAAAACAAAGTTTCTCCAGAAATATCAGAGCTAGATTATGTGATCTATCCAATTATTGTGCTCCCACTAGTAATACTAATTTTCCCTTGTATTCATGTCAAAAAATACAATAGTCAGCAAACGGCTATGTTATATGTCTACCTATGGCTTCATGACATTAGTTGAACTAGACCGACAAACCAAAAAACATCAAGAACGAATTTTCTCCGGAAATATCAGAGCTAGATTCTTTGATCTATGTAAACATACACTCATTAATTAATTAGCATACGTTATAGCAAAGGTCAATGAGCATTTGAAGTTTGCGACAAGGTACAATATTTCGTTTGCTACTTTCAAACCTTGTTGCCCATCTTAACTTCCTGATTCATTTATTTCCACCATCCACCAAAGCTTCACTCAAAAAAAGTTATTTCTAGGTGTGCCTAATTAGTAACTATATTAGCAATCTCAAGAAAATTCATGCCACCAACTGCAAAGGTTCCTCAAAAACTTACCTAACATTTTAATTAAATAATTCTTGGATTATAGTAACTGTCAATAAATGAAACAGTAAGCATGCAATAGCTCATAAAATTAAACATACATTCTAACGATGTATCTAGCTACAGCTACTCCCTTGATCAGACTATGCAATTTTATCCCACAGAGTACTTTAAACATTTAGCAATTCAGGGCACTCTAAATTATTTTTTCCCATTGAGGGCACTCAAAAATCTACAAACGGAAAAGACCACTTCTATTGAAGCATTGAGCAATACATCTGTAACAGTGAAGAACTCGAGCAGAATCTCAGGCATTAACATACTTATTTGCAACCGAGAGATATAATGATGTTGCATTTTAGTGATCTGATAACAAGTTTCAGAGTAGAACTTAACAGATAGCTTTCTAGAAGGAGGTTTTGAAAGAACCTTACTAACATTATTTGGGTTCCTCCAAGAAACATCCATCAAATCAGGGATTTTGCGTTGGCAATATAGCAATCTTTGCAGCTTACTTATGACCCCAAAAAAAGAGCAATTATTGCAGCTTCTCCTCGGAAATTCTCTTCCTCACATTGTTTTCTTTTTCCAAGCATAAAACTTTGTTTTCAGATGCTAAAGTACACAAATCAAACAGAAATCTTCATTCTTCTCCAGTCAAGACCATAATGGTACTCTGTTACTAGATAATTTAGGTTAATGAATCCCAGTGAAGGTGGATAAGTACATGGACAAGTCCTGTCGGATAATTAACTATGTAGAACAGCCAAAAAAAGGGTCCATTGGCAGACATTGCAATTAGTTAATCACTCAAAGTTGAAGAAACTTGCAGGAAAAGTTAAGGTATGACAAAATTTATAAATAATCTATGCAAGGTTACATTCAAGTTACGATATCATGTTTTACAGATGGCATGAGATGATTTAAATGGTTAGTGAGAATTCATATAACCGACCCAAAAAAGTGTGTATGTGTGTGTGTATATATATATGTATATATATATATATATGACCCCACATGTTTTGGGATAGAGGCATAGTTGTTGTAGAGTTAGCTAATTATATTTTAAAATGACTACCTCTTGTTGGCAGTATGAAAGAAGGCACAACATGTCAATAATTAGTCTCAACCTTCGTTGATTGGTTCTGATTTTCCAGATTCTTGTATTATCATTTACTTACAACTAATTTTGGGTTCAAAGTAAGCTTTATCACCAAATGTTCCTATTCAGCCATTCAACTTTCAAAGGCTCCTTCAGAACTCAATCTCGGAGGTTCCTCAAAAACTTACCTTTCCTTTAGCTACTTATCCTTCGTATATTAATGTCCACAGCTTCACAGGAATGGCCAATAAAGGAACTCTAACTAAGCAAATGAAGGATACAATTCGTAGAAAACTGTATCACGAAAATTTAACGAAAACTTATCTGTTCCCATCCCTCTATTAGATATTAGGAATGTAAACACATGGCCACAAACAAAACCTTAAGTTTTCAGGCCCTCACAATTCTTCAAATGGGAAATCATAACAATTTGGCAACATATTTAGAATGAAATGGATGTATTGGTAACATCTCTCACAAAATCTAAGGCATCAATAACTGAAATTGCACCTGGAACATAAAGATCATATACCATTTCCTATTTTCCCCCAAATTATAGTAATCCAAAAGTTGTATAAACCTTTTCATATAGTACTAACAGTAAACTTCTAAATCTCAACACAAACTACATACAGTTGACTTCAAAGCAGATCGAAACAGAGAACTATATTTATATAAGCAGCCATTGAAACAGAGTTTTTTTTTTACCTACTAGTATAGCAGTATAATAGTGAATTCATCACAAATCATTTGAAAGTGTCATCATCACTGAGCTCATCTTCAATGCTAGAAATATCCAATCTAGCAGATGCTTGCTTCGCCCACTTAACAATCTTTTCAGCTTCTCTATTAATCTTTTCTTGCTCCATCATAGCTTTCTTCATCAACTTCTCTTGATTTTTCAACGAAAACGCACTCAAATCCGATAAAAACTCATCATCATCATCATTCTTCCCCCATTTCATACCCCGATTCTCTTTCCCCTTTTTATTAGACCCCTTCTTCATAGGTGAACACCAAAAGCACCCAGTTTTCATTGGTGGAGACAAACAATCCTTTGAAAATTCCCAAGAATCTGATGACATTGAACCGGACAAAGATTCTGACTTTTTCCCCTTTTTTCCATCTGCGGATTTTGTAAAAGCATCATCTTTATTCGAATGAACCTTTGATTTTGTTTGTTTTTTAACAAATTCATGTTCCAAATTCACCTCAAAACCCTTTTCCTCAACTGGGGTTTTTGTATAAACATCATTTTTAACATTTTCTTGAACAAACCCATGCCCCAAATTCACTTCTGAACCCTTTTCCTGAACTGGGGTTCCTTCAATTTTCTCATTGTCGTCATCATCATAACTTTTCTTGGTTTTTGGGAACTCCGAGGAACAGAAACTTCTAGAACTTTTTGTGAGAGTATAGGGTTTTGAGGATGTTGTTGGAAGTGATTTGAGTTTGCGAAAGCGAGTTTCAAGCTGAGTGGGGAGGAGAGAGTCATTAAAGCCAGAGCAGTTTATAGCAGCAACTTGTTCAAGAACAGATTGGTCCATCGCTTGAGAAAGGAGTTCATTTACTGCTTTTTCATTGTCGCTATCATCAGAAAGAAAAGAGAAATCTGCCATTATCTAAAATGAGGGGAGAAGTAGAAGAAAGCCGAAAATTAAGCTGATTTTTCTCAGTGCAATTGAACTATTGAAGTGGTGTAAATGGGGAGGAGCTTCTTTCATTGCTATAACGTTATATTTTGGAACGTTATATTCGGGAGTCAAAAAGTCTGGGATTGTGGGACCCATCATTTGATGCTATTTCCAATTCTTGCTTATTTGTGTGTTAGTGTGACAAGCCTAGGGGTGTAATTGTGTTAGCTTACTGTACTTACATAGGTCGGTTCGATTAGAAATTTTTATTTAACAACCAAATTACTTGTTTTCGATTAGAATTTTTTATTTTACAACCAAATTAGTTGTGTTAGTTTGCTATATTTATAAGTCAAATTTTTTAATCTCAATTTACCTAACCAGTAAAAATGGGATGTTTTTTAATCTCGATTTTTTTGGTTTTTTGAATTTTTTTTTTGTTGTTCGATGTAAAGCGTCTTGCAATAATATTTGTTTGTTTCTTGTGAAATACAATATAAATTTTCCTATTATTTCATACAATCATACCGAATTCAGTTAATTGTAATCAATTACAACTGTTAGCTATCACACTTTGACGAAGCATAATAACTCCCATAATAGTTATGGCTGGATTTGGAAATTAAAAGTACCTCCCAAAATTAAGGCATTCGTTTGGTTGTGCAGCCATAAAAAAACTACCTACACGTGCTTGATCTGTACATGCACACTAGGTATTTGCTCCTTCTGCCTTACAGCAGTAAAAACCATCCATCATCTTCTCGTTAACTGCCCCAACGCAAGGCAATAATGCTGGACTTCGATGAACCTTCTTTCCTTTAATTGTACCCAAAAAAATACTGTACATCATTGGAAGACGAAACACATACTTGGTTTCGCAAAGTTATTAAATTCAAGCAACTGGTAATTTTCAATCATATTCTTCCCTTCACATTTGGCATTATTGGATCACCAAAAATAGAAACTTTATAATACAATATTCCATCCTTTATCAAGTTAAACACCAAGGCTTGGCAGGTAGACGAGGAGTACTTTTCAGGAACTCAAGTAATAGAATATGCAGGTAGTACAACCGTACGTGGCTCCAACACCTGTTATGAGAGAACTGGTGACACTATACTATGGCTTATAAGTGGCACTACACAACAAATTACAACCTCTTGAAATAAACGTAGATCAAACTAGTATTAGAAGATCGAGCAAGATGCACAAGGTTAAAGCACAACAACATGCAACGGACAACAACAATCTTTTTTGTCATCCTCTACAGGATGTTGGTACACGGGATCCACCTTTTTATACTCCACGGGGTCCTCCTTTTTGTATTCCTCCTGTTAATGACTCCCCAGGGTTAAAACCCATACCTAAATAGTAGTATTGTCACCACAAATGCTATTGCATGTATTGCTATAAGTGCGTCACAACACAAATTCAATGTACTTGTTATTTAGTTTTTCATATAATATAATCATCTTGACCAAAAAAAAAAAAAAAAAAATTATGAATATTGGGCTATAATTGTAAGCCAAAACCTGATGTGAAAATGTTAAGAAATAAAATTATGACAAAGTTTAAGAGTATTTATAAATTATATTATAATAAATGTTTTTATGTATAAAATAATATTTAAAAATATATATACATATAATATCAGGTTGATTGGTCTCGATTTGACTTTTTTTTAATTAATATCAAACCAAACCAGTTATGAGATTTTGGGATCCAAATGTGCTTTCCCCAAATTTTGAGCGTAGAAATTAATTGATTTGCTGGGAAAGAGGAAGGGATAATGGGAAGAAAAGAAATAATTAACGTTTCTTCCTATAAACAAAACACAGTAATATGGATATGAATTTGTACATGTTAACGTAGAGTAATCAAATCTCAAACCATAAATTGTTCCTAACACTTTATTTCTCTCGAAAACAAAGCAAAATTACCACAAAACTAAATGTCTTTTAGTGTTGATTGGGAAGAAGATGAGAACGAAATTTCTGATTTTTCTGATACTCTTTCTTCTGCTCTTTTTGAAGAAGAAGAAATATTACGTTTAAGAAGAGAAGAAAAATAGCAGCCCACTACACTTAAATGTGTAGCAACTTCTCTGAATAAGTTATTTTAAACCCTCTCTTTTTCAAATTCTTTCTTTTCCAAACGGCTTGTGTCAGCTCATATGAAGCAACCTCATACTCGGATTCAATATCCAACATCTCACTTCGTTCATAATGGGCTGGGCTCAAACCAGTATCATGAAAATAACACATAAAATTCATACAGACAAGTAATCTGTGCGACCTGCGAGCATCAAGAACTATAATTTTTCAAACCGTTCAAGGTTATACAAAAGCTTTATGTAAAAATTCAATCACAAGCGAAAAGGATTCACTACTAATATGAAGATTTTATTACTCGCAGTACCCCAGATATCACTCGCTAATCCAGTAGCTAGTTATCTGATCCCCCATCCTCTAAAGAGGTGAACCCGATTCATGTATAACATTGTATCCATAATTAGATTCAATACCCTTATGGTAGTGCAATGGCCGACCTACGAATACAAGTTAAATTACTATCTTTTTGTTATCTTCCCTTTCTATACTCGAATCTATCCATCCCAGATCAACAGTTTTCTTAGACATGCACTGTATTGTCAAATCACTCGTAGCTATTGGTGACATGCTAAAGTAGCAGCATTTATTGGTACTTCAAGATACAGTAAAAAGTCAAAGAGTATTCCAATGAAAAGTCAATTTTGACTTTCTGGGTCTCACACAATGAAGAAACAGGGGTCCAATCTTTCATTAACCCATTGATCGCTAAGCGCACGCGATATGAAATATGTGTTACGGTGCTCTTGGCATGTGTGTCTCATTATTTTTTATGCATTCAACACCGTATGAATCTTGTCTAGACACCTCCAGATATCTAAATTGAGTTTCTCACTTCAATAATCCTCAAATCCAACTTCTTAAAAAAACTCTCATCTGGCTTACAAAACAAGCCATATTAGAATGGTGGAATTCGTAAGTCTGGCTAGTTGTCAAGACCGACCTTTACAAGTGAAATATTACATCGCACTATTCAAGGTTCTATAAGGTCTCATCTCTTCATGATTCTCAGCGTAAGAGAAAATTACTCGTGTGAGAGAGTTAATCTTGTGACTTGTTGATGATAAGCTAGGAACTTATATTTTTAACTATATTTCGCACTCTATTTACTACACTTTGATTGTATTTGAGCGTAATTGTTAGTACTTTGTACTTATTACGTGTGTTATATTGTGTAGAATGTAGTTTCGAGTGAAGAAGCAAATTTGGAGCTAAAATAATTGATTTGAAGCTTTGAATTCTGAGTAAAAAGCCCAAAAAATTAAGTCGGGATCAAGTTCAGGGGTCGAGGACCAAGTCTGGATGTCAAAAAGTGAGAAAAAAAGATTACTCAAAGAAAAATATACTACCGCGTCGCGAGGCACAAGGTTCTAGTGCAAAATTCTTGTAGAGTGGAAAAACTTGCTATCTGACCTTTCCCATTGGCGTGGCGCATGGGGCAACATGTGGCGTGCCGCTCCTGTGTAATTTACATAAAGTGATTTCTCACTTCGGTTGGGAAAAGGTAGTTCCGTCCGGACCCACTTTTACATTGTATAAATATACCTAAAACATATTTTTTGAAAGGACTTTTGGCCTACGAAAGATTGGAGGAGAATTGGAGACTCAAAGCACAAGGATTCATCATTCGTTCCTCAACTCAACACCTGAGTTTGGATTGAATTCATATTTTCTTATTCTTCAACTTTATTTGTGATGACTTTTTCCATGATTATAGAGTAGTTTGCTTTAGGATTTGACGGATATGATATTTTTATTGATATTTGTGGATTTTAACTCTAGTTATTTGCATGAATTTGTTTATGGAGCTTTGAATCGATTGCAATTTTGTTCACCGAATTATTTAATCAAAAGAGGAATATTTTTTGGGTGATTATCTTTGCATTATTTCATTTGGTTTAATTCAGTAATTCTCTTAAGTAATCGAAAAAGCTTGTTGCATTATTGATTAAATCAAATTAGGAGAATATTCGAAATATGTTTTCCTAAAGACTAGTCCATCAACGTGTTCTTGCATATCTTCACAGTGATTTACATTAGTTTATCTCGTAGAGTTCAGATTTAATCGAGAGAGCAGTCTTGGCTATACGATTAAACTAATCATTGAGTGAATTCATGAGAACCATTAAATCATTAAAGTGAACTGAACTAGAGTTAGATCCCGAATAGCTATCTTACACCTATCCTGTCACGACCCTTATTTCTCCCATTTATTATTTTGGTGTTGCTCAACTCTTGTCTTTCTGTGATCAATTGTTAATTGCTTTAATTTTAATAGTTAGTTTGAGTTTATAACCATCCCAACCAAAGTGTTAATCATCCTGAATAGCATGTAAGCTAGAAATTACTTGAACATTATTTAAATCCAATCCCTATAGAGACGATAATTAAACAATACTATCTTTGGCTAGAAAGCATCAATTTCCTGTTGTGTTTTGTGCTCGTCAAATTTTGGCGCCGTTGTCGGGGATTGGCAATCAACAGTGTTTAAAATAATTTTTGGTGCTAGTTCAGGAACCAATTTTATTTTATTGTTATTATTCATGTTCTATCATCCGTGTGCAGGCGACAAGTTAATTTTGGTGGTGTATGACGCGATCCTCTTCCAAGGAATTCGTGCCATATAACTTAGGATTAGACAAGTACCTGCGACAGCTGAGAAAGGAGAAGGAATCAAGTGGATCATTCTTGGGTCAGACTTCGACTCAATAAAATGGGAAAAAACTAGAATGATGGGGTAGACCTAGCTGTAAGAGAGGCAACACAACAAAGAGAGCAAACTGCACAGTTAGCAGCTAAAGCAGCCCTTAGAGCTACTGATGAGACTGTCGAAGAGTATGGGGGTGAAGGTTCAATCTAAATAGACCCCTGGTTGGAGACGAGTTTAAAAATGCAGCCCCCAGGCATGTTCGATCATTAGGAGAATATGCTAGGCCAGTATACAATCAAGGACTATCAAGTGTGAGTCCCCCGCCGATTGCAACTAATAATT